CTTATTCTCTTTAGAATTAAATTCTCTTCTATTTGAACTAAAACGGTTGCTGAAAACCGCTTTTTTTATATTTTTTACAGCATGTTAAAGTCAATATTTTATCCCGAAAAATGAAATATTGACTTTAACATGCTGTAAAAATATAAAAAGCGGTTTTCAGCAACCGTTTTAGTTCAAATAGAAGAGAATTTAATTCTAAAGAGAATAAGCCTTTATTCGTTTCAATCGGTCAATAAGTTTTTTTGTTATCTTTCCCGCCAATTCGAAAGAATCGTAAAAATTAAAAGTGAGAAAACGGGCCTCAAAGTTCGCCAAGCGCCTGCAAACCTACCCGGCGCTCCTTTGCTTTCATCTCTGTATCTTCGAAAATACTTCGAATTGGATTCTGAAATTTTTGTGGTATATTCTTAGATAGTTTATCTATCGATTTAAGTAATAAAAAAAAATCGATTTTTTTTTGCCTCCTAATTCAGGAAACCCCCTTAAACAGAAAAGCAAAATAAGGAAATTAGTGTTTAATTTAATACTTCAAAATGTTTATTTTTTATATTTCTGACGACTTTTGCAATTGATTTAAAATATTCAAAAAACAATTATTACGTTTCATCCCTGATAAAGTACATATATAGTAGTTAAATAAGGTTTTTTTATATTTTATACACCTTTTGCAATTGATTTAAAAAATTCATAAATCAATTTCTACGTTTTCATCCCTAATATAGTACATATGTAGTAGTTAAAAAATCAAGTCGAATCAATAGATTAAAAATTACAAAGAGTGTGTAAAAAGTTTTCCTCCTCGCATCTGCCTACATATACATTTTTCGTTGTTTAAGTGTCACTCTTTCTCCACCTTGCCCACTCCTGCACGGAATTATGTATACATACAGATATGGAACTCTGGTCTCTGGTCTCTGGCTACCCAGTTATTATTATATTAATAAACCCTTAATACTCTAATTATACCCCTGCAGGGTATTGTAATTTTAGTCAGAAGTTTACAACGCAAACTTGCAATGCCAGCGAAGGGGAGACCCTATAAAGTATATATGTATATACTTGATCAGCATCAACAACCGAGTCGATCAAGCCATGTCCGTGCAGTAGAGTAGTCCGAAGACTATCTGCAACGTTTCATTTATATAGCTTCAAAACTGAGGGACTAGTTTCTTTAGAAACGGACAGACTGACATGTCTAAATCGACTCTGCTGTTGTTGCTGAAAAATATATATTTTATAGGATCGGAACCGTCTCCTTCTCTGCGTTGCAAACTTCTAACTGAAATTATAATACCCTGCAAAGGTATACAAATTGACGAAGTTGTTATTTATTTGATGTATTTTTTTTTTTTTTTTGTTATTTATTCTTATTATCTATTTTTATACCCTTGCAGGGTATTATAATTTCAGTCAGAAGTTTGCAACGCAGTGAAGGAGACATATCCGACCCTATAAAGTATTTATATTCTTGATCAGCATCAACAGCCGAGTCGATCAAGCCATGTCCGTCTGTCCGTCCGTCTGTCCGTTTCTACGCAAACTAGTCCCTCAGTATTTAAGCTATCTGAAGGAAACTTTGCATATAGTCTTCTATATACTCTCACTGCTTCATATGTCGGAACGGCACGGATCGGACGACTATATCATATAGTTGCCATACAAATGTTCGAAAAAATTTAGAAAAAAAATTATAACTTGGCTGTTTTTCAATATATTTAAATAATTTTTGAGATATGGCCATTTTTTATTATTTCATAATTTCGGTTTAAATTTTTTGAAAATCGGACGACTATATCTCAGTTGCCATAGGAACGATCGGGAAATTAATAGAAAAAATTATAACTTCGTTGTTTTTCAACGTATTTTCATCTACTTTGAGATATGAGCTTTTGTTATTATTCCAGAATTTTGGTGTAAATTTTATAAACATCGGACAACTATATCATATAGCTGCCATAGAAGCGATCGGTAAATGTAGAGAAAATGTAAAGCTAGGAATGTAAAACGGTGTCAAACTGTAAACATAATAAGTATAGGTAAAATGTAATGAAACTGTTTTGTGTGTGTTTTCAGCATTTTATTTATGCTATGTGTAAATATACAACTTTTAAATGATTTTTTTTTTTTTTTTTTTAATTATTTAACCAGAATGGCTCGATTCTTAATGATCCAATTGGAATCTGCAAGGGTATACAAACTTTGGCGTGCCGAAGGTAGCTTCCTGTCTTGTTTTTTATTTATTTATTTTGTTTTTCCTAGTGCGACAAGTTTGAAACTTAGCGCACTAACTTAAAAGTTTTAAAATGGTAGCGTTAGGAAAATGATATATTCAAATCAATAATTTAAAAAATATATAAAAATTTAAAATTTGAATTTAAAATGTATTTCACTAGTCAAAAGTCTCCTATAGCAATCATATATATTTATACCCTTGCAGGGTATTATAATTTCAGTCAGAAGTTTGCAACGCAGTGAAGGAGACGTTTCCGACCCTATAAAGTATATATATTCTTGATCAGCATCAACAGCCGAGTCGATCTAGCCATGTCCGTCTGTCCGTCTGTCCGTCTGTCCACCTGTCCGTTTCTACGCAAACTAGTCCCTCAGTTGTAAAGCTATCTGAATGAAACTTTGCACATAGTCTTCTATATACTCTCACTGCTATATATGTCGGAACGGGCCGGATCGGACGACTATATCATATAGCTGCCATACAAATGATCGATAAATTTTTAGAAAAAAAATTATAACTTGGACGTTTTTTAACATTTTTGCACCATTTTTTAGATATGGCCATTTTATAATATTTCTAAATTTTGGTAAAAATTTCACGAAAATCGGACGACTATATCTTATAGCTGCCATAGGAACGATCGAGAAATTAATAGGAAAAAAAATGATAACTTCGTTGTTTTTCAACATATTTTCATCTACTCTGAGATATAAGCTTATTTTATTATTTTAGAATTTTGGTATAAATTTCATAAAAATCGGACAACTATATCATATAGCTGCCATAGAAACGATCGGTAGATGTAGAGAAAATGTAAGGCTGGGAATGTAAAACTGTAACTGTCAAACTGTATATATAATAAGTATAGGTAAAATGTAATGAAATGATATCTGCAAGGGTATACAATCTTCGGCGTGCCAAAGTTAGCTTCCTTTCTTGTTTTTTTTAATATTGGATAATTCTGTGGACATTTAGAATGTAAACCGTAAACCAGCTTTATTTTGAAAAACCACACGAAATTCTCTATATTTCGTTTTATTATAAGGCATTTCAATTAAGACTATATTATCTTAAATGATTTTTAATTTATTAATAAATAAAAATATTTAAATAAATAAATGCGCTTGTCGCGTAGGATAAAATGAAGTAAGATTCAAAGATTTAAGGGTCGCTAATGGAATGTTTTTATTACTTTAAGTTGCATTCTTGCCTTAGATTTGTTGATGGAACTAAAACCAAAGAATATCATTCGTGTATTCAGCAGTCGAACGATATATACTTTCGGTAAAACTTGTATATATGTATATCCTAGCATCCTTTATTCTTCTTTTTGTATTTTGCTTGCATTGTGTTCATTTTTAATGAATCAGTTCGTTACAAGAATATATATTACACAAGATATATTGGAATACAAAAGGGATTTTTGTAATTCTAGTATGAGTCCGTATTTGTGTCCGCTTTATTTAAACATAATTTTTTTGTTTAAGAAAATTAGGAGGCTAGGAAATAAATTAATATTTTAGGAAATAAATTAATTTAACAAAAAATATGAGTATTTTATTTTGAGCATAGCTATAAATAGGAATTTCTTTTAAAGAGGAAGCCTTTCTCTGAATTTTAAACATGTTATAAATAGAGTTTCACTAAAAATGTACACGTATGTATGTATCTTCTGCTAACACTACCCTTCACCTCGGAGCTTGCTTTTCCAAAAAAAAAATTTCTTAGATGTTGTTATACTTTAGGTCAGCTTATAGATTTTTTTAATTCTTTTGTTTTAACACTTTAGCATTACTGGTGTCTGATATGTAAACATAAAAAGTTTCAAATACATATGTGTAATACATGTGTAAATATGTACTGTTTAAAATTTTTATACCTACTTATATATAGAGATGACAATTTTAAAGAGTATGTGTAGGTATAACAATTTTAAAGAGTACATATATAATTATTCATTAGAGCTGTAAAAACATCGATACTGGCGTCATCGATACTAGCGTCATCGATGTTTTGCGATATATTTAGTGGCACTATCGATAATATCGCTCCATAAATTTAGATAAATGTTAAGGGACATTCCTTAGACATTTATATTTGATTGTATTAAAGTCTTACAAGTCTGTGTATTGTGTATTGTATTGTATTGTGTCGAAGTTTTAACAAATTAAAGGAGTTATGCGGAGTTAAACGGAGTTGAACGGAAGTAGTGTGGTGTTCAATGTATGATATCACGAAGTTTAAAGCTCTCTCATGATGTCATGTTATTTTGAAAGTCGATGTACACGATAACATAAAATCTACTGGACCAACTGGTTTGAAATTTGGAGCATAACTTCTTGAACTAATTCTACATGTGCTCGCGTCAAGCTATTTTTAATTTAAAATTTTTTATTTAACAAATTAACTTAGTTAGGTTTTTAATATCAAATGATTTTGTGGACAGTTAGCGTGTACACCGTAGACCAATTTTTTTTTAATAGGACTCTGGAGATTCCCTATTACTCCTAGAACTCTACCTATTTTTTAGTACACAAATTAAAAAAAAAAAAAAATTGGATGTCTATATATTTAGCATCGATAGTATCGATAGTACCATCGGGTTATTCACAGCTCTACTATACATATGCATATTAGTCTGTATTATACATTATTATTATTAGCTTGTATTGTCAATTTTGTTTGTTGATTTGTTGTGTTATATTCCTTTTATTTAACGTTTCCCCGTTTTCTGTTTTTGTTCTTTGTCTAATTTCATTTGTTTCAGTTGCGTGTGATTCGCGCTTTTCGCTCGACATTGGAAGACCTAAACGAACGACGATCGATGCACAGCTTGCATAGCTTACGCAGTCCACGTTCGGGTGGCCTTGGGAGCCATCCCTTGTACAATTTTAACCACCTGTTGAGCCCCAATTACAACAAGCAGCAATCTCAGCAGCCAAAGTCACCACCGCATCCGCAACCGCAACTGCAGCCGCTGCCATCGGATATATCTTACATTGACGAAGATCCGCAACAGCAGCCGCAGCAGCGTACATCGCCGCAGCTCCCCTCTATTAACGTGTCTGCTCCAAACTCCTCAACCCTGCCAAGCTTTTTAGAAATTGCTCACATTTTGAAACAACAACCGCAAAGCCATTGTAATAACACTGAAAACGAAACTCAACAACAAACTGCAAAATATACCAATGGACAGAATGAGACTCGAATTTAAAAAAATAATATTAACACTTATAGAGCTGGGAAACAAACATCGAGGTATCGAAATGTTTTCTTATTATTTTAGGTTTATTCTTCTATATTATTATTCTATATTCTAGTTCAGTTATTATTGTTTCTTTTATTAAATGTATTCTCTTTAAATTTTTATTTTACTTTTTTTTTTTAAGTATGCCGGTTTTTTATTTCATATTTATTAACAGATCAAATTCAAAATCTTAATAATGATAGGCAAAATATCGCTATATCGATGTTTCTACCAGCTTGAAATTTACATTCTTGCTAAAGCGCAATTGCATTTTGGATTTAAACTTAAATTGTAATTGACTCCATAATTTAAGAATTCCGTATAATACCGAACAAGAGACGACTGAACCATGACATTCTGATAGAACTTGGAATATATCGATATAACTAAAAACAGCGAAACATTTTCCATCTCTATTTAAAAATCCTTAATATCCCAAGAGCTCCCAACCGTGGTTTAGTTAAAGCAATAATTAATGCTCCTTGAAATTATAAATTCTTATATTCGTAAAACAAAATTCCAATCACTTAGCTAATAATTACCCGATTGTACTGGACCTTATTGAATACAATATTTTCCCGAAAATGTATGCACTTTAGTATTAAATAAAGCCTATTTATGTGAAATTAAAAAAAATGTTAAGCATGCAATTATAATAATATTAACTCTTAATTTAAAAATAACAAAAAAAAAAAAAAAATAATTAAATGTTGAAAATGTATTATGTAGTATACATATGTTACTAACAAATATCCAATTCTAATTTTTCTTTTATTATCTTTTCTTCATTTTTGTTTGTTCCTGTGACTATGAGAATGACGTAAAAATATAAATAAACCTTCTAAACAATTACGAGTACTTTAATTTATCCTTCTATTCACATTTTTTTTATTAGATTTTTATACCCTTGCAAGGTATTATAATTTCAGTCAGCAGCAGTGAAAGAGACCTTTTCGACCCTATAAAGTATATATATTCTTGATCAGCCTCGATCTAGCCATGTCCTTCTGTCCGCTTCTACGCAAACTAGTCCAGTCAGTTTTAAAGCTATTCTATAGTCCTCTGAATACTCTCATTGTTTATATGTCGGAACAGACCGGATCGGACGACTATATTATATAGGTGCCATACAAATGATCGACAAATTTTAAGAACAAAAAATTATAACTTTGCATTTTTATTATTTCAGAATTTCGGTTTTAATTTTATAAAAATCGGACTACTGTTTCTTTTAGCTGTCATAGAAACTATCGGAAAATTAATAGAAAAAATGATAACTCCGTTTTTTTCAACGTATTTTCATCTACTCTGAGATATGAGCTTTTTTATTATTTCAGAATTTTGGTAAACATTTTATGAAAATCGGACAACTATCATATATCATATAGCTGCCATAGAAACGATCAGTAGATTTAGAGAAAATGTAAAGCTGGGAATGTAAAACTGTAACTGTCAAATGAAACTCTGTTTTGTGTGTGTTTTCAGCACTTAAATTTATAATATATTCTATTCTTTCTTTCAAGTGAACGGACGTGTTTTTTTCTTGCGCTCTCGATTTGTGTAGAATTTTAATTTAATATTTCATATTTGGTGTTTTTAATAGTTCCCGTTCACTTTGCGTGTGCATGCAACTTTTCTATTTGTGTTATTTAATTCAGTTTAAATTGCATTTTGGTTCGGGCAGGTGCGGTTGTTTGCATTTTTATACATTCCCTTTTGTGCCTTCTGCGTTTGTTGTTGTTGGGCAAATGTCGCGGCAGCTATAAACGGTTTCATTACTGCTCAATCCCACTCTTTCCCGCTCTTTCAGTGCCGCTGCACTTAACCCCTTGCGTCCTCTCTTAAACTTACACAGTGGTACAGTGGTAAGTCCGTAAAATGTCTTTTAATATGGTCTGCTTCTCAAAAACATGTAAGAAGAATACTTCTTATGGTGATCTTACCATCAGCTGTTGGTTGTGCGACAACATCGTGCACGCCAAGTGCATTGGAGTCGTTGCCCGGACAGTTGATGACGTTGCCAAAAATATCGGCGTACGTTATTGCTGTGAGGTCTGCCGCGAAATGGAAAGGGAGATGATGTCGTTCATGCGGCAACCAAGGGCGATCTTAAAGAGCTGTTTTTGAGTTTGCGAATAGCTCAAGATATGCTCTTGGGGCTGGACACTAAGTTTAATAGCCTTAAGTTATTAAACGCAACTGGTGTGCAGCATCTAGGCGGATCCCAACCACCTGGCTCTCAGCAGCAGCCTTCCTCGGCACAGCACTCGACCGTAGGACAAACTCCACGAATCCTGAGATCGAGTGCTTGAAAAGATTCGGTACCCGAATATGTCGCGGAAGTGACCGTACCCCCGGTGTTACCCATTTCCCTTTCGTACCCTAGGGGTCCCGAAAAGTGACCACTCAGAGCCCCAGTCCTGTTCCTTGCCAGGGTGTCAGGCCCGGACTACCTGTAGCGCGGATAATCAATCTGCCTTTCCAAAACCCGTATGCCAATACCACCAACAAAAGAGTTATTTAATTCGCGGCTCTCGCCTGAGCAAACATCGGAAGATTTAATTGCATTTAAAGCAAAACAAGAGCAGAAAAGAAAAAAATAAGGTGTCAAGGACTTCTAAGCAAAGAAAAAGAAAAGCGGCCAGTAGGAATTATTCTTCTTTGTCCCGATTTGATAACTCCGCCTTCTACGTCTTCTAATTCTGTCCCAAAAAACTAAAACTAACCAACTCCCTTGGTGTCTCCTATCAGAATGCAGGAGGCTTACGTAGTAAGTGTATTCTGATAGTGTCTCATTTGCTTCTCAAGTTATTGTAGCACAAAAACTTGGTTAAAGCCAGACATTCTGAGCTCCGAAGTTTTTCCAGTTGTGTTCTCAGTATACCGGCTAGATCGGCCGTGGGGGAGGTGTTCTTATAGTGGTCGACTCCACAATCACGTCCAAATTAATAACTTTCGATGAGTGCAACGATGTTGAATTCCTTTGCGTGAAGCTATCAGTCAATGGTAATTCCATTTTTATTACATTTTTCCACAATTCTCCATTGTCGGAACTTTCTATTTATTTGAACCATCTTTCAGCTATACTGTAGGTTACCAAAAAACTTTCAGATAGACCACTTAGTAGTTCTTAGTGGACTATTTGGTCTCTAGATAATTCCACTAATAAACTTCTTACCACAACACATCATGATTTTATTTCTGGCTTGTTTGACATTTCGCTGTCCCAAGTCAACCATGTACGAAATTCCTTAGAGCGCTTGCATGATCTTTGTTTTGTCTCTGTGATATGAATCCATTTTTTACTGAATGTGTTTCGTTATACTATCCGTCAACATCAAATAAGCCTCCTTGGTTTACCAAAGACTTGACCCGCCTCAATAATAAAAAATCTTATCTGTATGATAAATATAATCGCACCGGTTCTCCAACTGTCCTATCTAGATATTTATCGGCTCGATCAACTTTTACCGTGCAGAACGCGCAGTGTTACAGTGTACGTAAACCAATTTCTCATCCTTCCTCGCTCTTTTTTAAAAATAGAACAGCAGATAATGATCAGTCAATTGCCGATCTATTTGCTTAGTTTTTTCAAACTACTTAATCCAACTTAATAGACTCAAATCAGACTTATTCTTACATCATCCCTAAATCGAAAAAAAGTCCTACATTAAACAAAAGTTCTATTCTTTTAAATCTTCATCATGTTAAGCAGGGTGTGCATTTACTAGTCCATAGCAGCAAAATTCATAAAAATATTGCTATGCTATTGCTACCGCTCTCGCTTTGACGAGAGCCATAGCAGAACAAAGGCGAAGCCTATGCTCTGCTCTTCTCGTAGTTTTGATGCTTCAAAAACTTCAGCTATAGCTATAGCAAAAAATGAAAACCAGTGCCGTAGCCGTAGCAAAAAATTGAGAGCGAGATGGGAGCAGAGCAAAAGGAATTTCGTCATATGCTACGGCTGTTGCGGCTGTCTTTAAAAATAAACATACACAGGCAAGCAACCAATCTGGTAGTAGTTTCCTCGCATCCTTTTCTTTTTATTTCCCTCGCGCCTAACACCTACCACCTAACTACTAGCTACTAACACCTACCACGAACAAGCACGTGCTTGGTGTCGCAAGGTCACTTGGTATGTACTATACATAGTGCATCACAGTCTTGCAATAAACAAAAATCTGAAATAACACATTACGCAGTACATGAAAATATCTTAAATAACAGCGATATTTTTATAGTTTTCTATTAATTTTCGGATCGTTATATGAGAAGTCGTCCGATATTCATAAAATTAAAACTAGAATTCTGAAATAAAACAAAATGGCCATATCTTAAAGAAAATAAAAATAGGTTGAAAACAGCTAAGCTATAATAATAATCCCATAGCAGCTATATGATATCCGGCCCATTTCGATATATGTACCACTGGGAGCCGTCAAAAGACTGCTGCTCATTTAGATAGCTTCAAAACTGACGAACTAGTTTGCATAGAAACAGAAAGCCGAACAGACGGATTTGTCTAGATCGACTCGGCTGTTGATGCTGATCAAGACTATATATCGTTTATAGGGCCGAAAATGTCTGCTTCACTGCGTTGAGTCCTGCTGACTAAAATGATAATACCCTGCAAGGGTGTAATAAACAAATTTGGAGATTAAATTGGGAACTATGCTAATAATAATTTACCTACTTTATAGCTTTATAGTAAAATTACAATAAAACCTTTTTGTGCCCTTACCAGAATTTAGAATATATACACTATCATTTTCCCTACAAATACTTTAAAAGGAATATGTTACGTAAACCCTATTGTCAAAGTATATTTTCTTATTTCCTATTTTAAGCTTGATTTTATTTGCTTAACTAGTTTGAAAAAAAAATTGGAATAGCGATTTAAAAATGTAATGTTTAAAACAAAAAGCACATATTTAGAAGCTAAAGAACTTAAAATTTAATCCTGCATATTGTCTATATACATATATATATATATATTTCTCTCTCTCTCTCTCTCTCTCTCTCTCTCTCTCTCTTTTCCTCCCACACTTATTTATTGTTTCTATATTTTTAATTTTTTTTATCTTTCTCTTTTTTAATACTTAAAGGTAATAGGCGGCGAATTGCAAGAACGCTTGATACCGGTCCCCTATAGCAAGAGCAACACTGATCAAGCTGTAAGCCTTCCAACAATTCCTATTCTTGTTTTAATTTTTCTCTTTTTTTATCATTCATTTAAATATTTAAGTTAAGAACCCCAAAGCTTAAGAATGAATGCTTGGAAATGTCTGTTTGCATCTAAAGTCATACGTAAATACTATACTAGTTGGATCCTCTTAAAATAAATTCTTTAAACAGCCATAACAAAATTTGTCCTTATGTATCCTTGTCCTTGTATCTGCTAAATCTTGATCTAGAGAAAATACTTAAGGATATGTTGTGTTGGCTGTGCTTATTCAATACTTTCAATATTGTATATGGGCAACTATCTGATGTCGATCGCGACATTTGTACGTATTATAACTAAATAAAAACATGTTCCAAGACTTCAGTTTAATTTTACCAAATTAGAAACCTATAGCTCTTGGCTAGCACTATAAATGGTGCTGAAATCGACTTTGGAAAATGGTTCGTTTTCAAGATAATTTCAGAATTCACTTAAAAAAAAAACAAGTTTAAGCACTGAAGCGAAACGTGATGAAAGATTTTTATGCAATTAATTATGTATAGATTCATCTTCATAATGTATTTGGTTTAACTTTAAAATATTAAGTAGTTTTATTTTAAATAAAATTTTTCTCTCTTTCGAACGCTACATTTTTTCCACCGTACTTTTTATGTTTTTATTTTTTAGGTAAATTAGTAAAACATTTCTTATGTTCGAAAGCAAAAGTCAAAGCATAATGCTTCTGTTTTAGAACTTTTTATCACAAAACATATTTTTAAAAAATCGCGTTTTCTCGAATTCTTATCTAATTATTTCGAAATATGTTTTAGAATATGCTAGATTCTGTCAATGTTGATCAACTGGAACACTTCTTAATATGACCATTCGAAAACAAAGATTTTAAGGAAGTTTTGCTGTTTTGGCCGCGGTTGCTGTTTCTGGAGAGTTACCCATATACATACATATACTCATATAACATGCAATGTACATATATTTGTATGGAATAACCATTTCGGTTAACCGAATTAAGTTCAGTCGAAGAGATAGCTCTCTATTTCGTTTTGGTTGGAATTAATTTTTTATTTGAAAATTGGATTGGTTATTTTATAACTCTGAGACCCCTGTGTCCCATCTTAGTTTAATCTATATTTATTATGTCTCATATATAATGCATGATATTGGAAGACTAGTTTTTATGTGAATGCATTTTATGATCGGGGTTACAAATGCAGATAAAAAGTGAATGAAATTTAAATGGATTACTTATTAGGCATAGATAGCATTTTTTTTGTGTTCGTTCCGTCTGGTATAAAAACTGGGAAATCCAAGTATTGCTCCTAATAAAATACTACGGATATATTATTTATTACTCTATGTTGCATTGGTTCGTTCACTTTATATTCATACATACATATGTTAAAACGTGCTTAACTTAAACATGTGTGTGTATTCTTAAACAAAATTGTTTGTGTATTTAATATTGCATTAAATATTATTATTATTAAAAGCCTGACTCACTAATCAAAAAGCTATTCTCCTGTCATATATTACTGTAGTTTGTCTAGTTTTTGTCACTGTTTTCTATTTTTTGTGTCTCTCGTTCTCCTCTCTCTCTCTTTTCTTTTTTTATTTAATTTTTTTGTGAATTAGATTCGTGTGGTGAACGCTTTTCGCCAAGGTCTAGATGCCCGTTATGGCGACCATACGAATAATACGTCGCTGGCTGAGGTGCTGCGAAAGCAGACGTCGCTAAGCAAGCGATTATCGGAAACGTCTTCCATTGAGTATGCCGACAATATACCCGATGAGCTGACCATCCCCGAAATCGATGTCGAACGTTTATCATCGCACAGTCACACTGAAACGGCTGTTTAATAAAAATCATTAAGATTCATCGCACGTATTGGTTGCCGTGAAAGCGGTTGCTTTAAAGATGCGCAAGGTAACACTGAAGCCGCAGCCTCAAAGATTCACCCGGTCACACTTCAAATTAATTGGAATTGATGCATACAAACATCAATACGAAACCTACTCAATTTCTTCTGAAGAAAATAAGATGCAACTTTTTCGAAGAAAATTTATATCGAAAAATTATTATTACCGGGAATACCACCACCATAAACCGCTATGTACATTTATTAATCTCTTGAAAAGCGGTTTAAAAAGATTAAAATGTACTTAAAATATTGATATGCCTACTTTTTCAACGCCTTTTTTTAAAGTAATTTTGAAAGTATTTTTCTATTTGTTTGTGGCAACCCTGTGTATATCTTTGTTATTTATTAAATCTTTTGCAAGACCCAAAAAATTAAATCCGGCTTTAAATATGTTAAAAGAAGTTACTTACGATAATGATGGCAAATTGCAAGATACTTACATCTGGTACTTGGAGAATTATTTCCAAAATTGAATTCCTAAAATAAAAATACATAAATAAATTGTTACAAATAAAAAAATTAGAACAAATCGTGTCCAAAAAAATTAAAATTTATATATAAAATGAGTAAATACATACATTAACGTAATCACATCCTACCAATACACACAAAATCTAGAAATGTAAACGAAAAACACAAAAACCATCAATTATTGTAACTTAAAAAATTTAAAATAAAGTGTGTAAAGAATAAAATAGAATGCATGTCTATGAATTTATTCTTCGCTGAAAATGAATGGATATTTAAGTAAGTATTAAAAAAATAAAATGTGCAATTTATGAAAAATATTTTATTTTATTTTTTGCAATTGGATAATATAAACTTGATTTATTTCGGTCAAATATAAATATAAATAAAATATAAAATATAAATAATAAAACCTAACATGAGGTGTGCAAAACTTTATTTTAAAACATATATTAGGGTTGTCGTCGGTCCGTAATTGTTATCGATAATCTAGTATTTTAGTGATCGAAAATGTATTGATTTTTAGACGGTGTTCACTTTAGGAGGCCTCTGTTCGCCCTCTGCCCATCGAGCTTCTAAAAGCTCAAGCGCTCCCATCTTAGCAACGGTTAGAGCTGGGAAACTATCGATAGTGGCACCATTCGATATTTTCGATGTTTCGAAAGCGAAAATTCGATACTATCGAAAGTATCGTTTTTTTACGATTCTTCTTGCATATTAAAATTATAGAAATTTCAAATATTGGGTGTACAAGTATAAAACCGCCATTTTTATACCCTTGCAGGGTATTATAATTTCAGTCAGAAGTTTGCAACGCAGTGAAGGAGACGTTTCCGACCCTATAAAGTATATGTCGGAGAAAACCGTTATTTAATTTAACCGTAGTCGAGCCAGCGAGTTCTGTTCGCCTGCGCAGTCAAATCCAATCTGTCATCACGCCACTTTTCCTGTGGCCCTTTCACCTTTTCTTACTTTTCACTCAGATGTCATTCCTAGACAATCTCAAGCTGTCTCTCTCATTCTCTCCTATTGTTGCGACAGACGAACAGACCTCACTCAGTAACACTCCTGTTACCGACTCAACTGTCATTGCGCCTGCGCGCCAGCGACACCTACAGGCTACCAATACCTGAGCATGCCGAATAGTTCTGTTGCCATAGCAACAAGCTTTCCAAATTTGCACTTAGCAACCAACTCGCCGACATATATATATTCTCGATCAGCATCAATAGCCGAGTCGATCTAGCCATGTCCGTCTGTCCGTCCGTCCGTCTGTCCGTTTCTACGCAAACTAGTCCCTCAGTTGTAAAGCTATCTAAATGAAACTTTGCATATGGTCTTCTATATACTCTCACTGCTATATATGTCGGAACGGGCCGGATCGGACGACTATATCATATAGCTGCCATACAAATGTTCGATATATTTTTAGAAAAAAATTATAACTTGGCTGTTTTTCAATATTATTCCATCATTTTTGAGATATAGCCATTTTATATTATTCCGGAATTTCTGTAAAAATTTTATGAAAATCAGACGACTATATCTTATAGCTGCCAAAGGAACGATCGGGAAATTAATCGAAAAAAATTATAACTTCGTTGTTTTTAAACGTATTTTAATCTACTTTGACACATAAGCTTCTGGTATTATTTCCAAATTTTGGTATAAATTTTATGAAAATCGGACGACTATATCTTATAGCTACCATAGAAACGATAGGGAAAGTAATAGAAAAAATTATAACTTCGTTGTTTTTCAACGCATTTTCATCTACTCTGAGATATGAGCTTTACTTATTATTATAGAATTTTGGTATAAATTTTATGAAAATCGGACAACTATATCATATAGCTGCCATAGAAGCGATCCGTAGATGTAGAGAAAATGTAAAGCTGGGAATGTATAACTGTAACTATCAAACTGTAAACATAATAAGTATAGGTAAAATGTTATGAAACTCTGTTTAGTGTCTGTTTTCGGCATTATAATTTATAATATAAATATGAAAACCAATCTGCAAGGGTATACAAACTTCGGCGTGCCGAAGTTAGCTTCCTTTCTTGTTTTTTCATAATTTTAGGCTTTATTGCATTTATATAGCTACAGACCAGTTATTCAAAATATTTTCCATCGCTGGCCCCACCATTTTTTCCCATCTTTCCGGCAGCATGTGAATCCCACGTCGAAAAAATTGTTCATCTTTGGACGCGATCCATTGATCTAGCCAATTTTTGACCTCTTCGTATGATCGGAAGTGCTGTTCAGCGAGGCCATGCGTCATTGATCGGAACAAGTGGAAATCCGAAGGAGCGATGTCTGGAGAGTAGGGCGGGTGGGGTAGAACGTACCATTTCTACGTTTCCAGTTAAGTTTTTACGACCTTGGCAACATGAGGCCGGGCGTTGCCGTGTATAACTTTATCGTGCCTTTCCTTGTATTGTGGCCGTTTTTCCTTGGCTCATGCGCATCAACTGGGTCCGGTAGAGTGCTCCTGTGATGGATTCGCCTGGTTTCAAAAGTTCATAGTACACTACGCCTAGTTGGTCCCACCAAATACAGAGCAGTAGCTTCGAACCATGAATGTTTGGCTTTGTCGATGCATGGCCGGGTGGCCCCCATGATTTTTACCGCTTAGGATTATCGTAAAGAATCCACTTTTCATTGTTGGTAACGATACGATGTAAGAAACTTTTGTTACGACCTGAGTTTTACCGATGGGGCAAGGCCGGCTAGCCAATCTCCTCTCAGGGGGGATTTCTCCCCATTCGCCCGCAGGTCGCACCATAAATTCCAGCTGATCTGGAATCCGCAAAATAAAATAAAAAAAGACAACAAGGACCGACAAGAAAGGTAAAAAAACTACATTACTCTACAACAATTACTTCCGGCTTACTTCATCTCTCTCTTCTCCTCTCTCGGAGTGTAGGCTTGGGCTTGGCTGGAATCGCCCTGGACGCCCCTCCCTTCCAGAGATCCGGACTCTCATCTTCTGCGGATCTCCCCTTGGCAGGCGGACTTCGCCGGCCTACTCCTGACTACGGTCTAGTCATCTTTAAATCGGAAACGCTTAGCAACTCATCGTTATAAACATTTTAATTTCCTAGATAATCATACATATTTAATTTTGACATATAACTAATTAACAAACTTTTATTTCTCCTTTTCAGAACATCACATGGGCAAAACAATACCAGAAAATACGGAAATTGCATCAACGACGATAGAGACAGTGGAGCAGCGAACAACGGAGAAGACAACGATTTTCTTGCACAGGTATAAATGTATATCAATGTATATAATTATTCAAATGTACCCTCGTTCATTTCAGCTACATCCTACCTACTTGGAGCTCCAAATTAGAGGAAGGGACTGAGACGGGACTTCCGAAATTACTTTTCTTCACAAATATACCCCTACACTACAAACCGGCCTTCGCAGCGCAGTCGCATCAAAGATCTATCTCTCCTCTTGATTTAAGTTTTAATTTATGTTAAGTTTTCTGCAATTGAAAGAGCTCCAAAATAAATAAGAAGTCTTCATATGCTGAGTTTTTGTAAGAAACTGAATTTATTCCATTCAAACCCTAGCTTATATAGCTAACATGAGAATGTACATTGTAGATCTTAGTTCCCGATCGTGGGAAGTATTTTAAGTACGATAAGGGTGCAAACAGTCACCCCGAAAGAACATATCTTAAACAAACCCAGACCGCTCGCAGGAGGTCATATTTCGGGTTACTTGTTACATAGGCTCAAGTGGCGGTTGTATTAATAGATAGATATGCACATAAAAGTGCTAGGCCGTGCTCTGCTGCTGAGACTTAACCGCTAACAGATGCTTCTTATCTAAAACCGTGTTCATGTTTGAACATTCTGCCAAGGGCCAGCAAGATTCGGGGTACATTTAAATTAGTTGCAATTAAAATTAAGTGGACTGTATTTATTTTGTTTAATTCGATATAATTAATTTTGCAACTAATATTTTACAAAGCCCTCCGTATCATGGCTTAATACATGTACAATTTTATTTCTTTTTAACTTTTAATTTTTAATTCATCAAAATTAGTTTATCCGCTTGTATTTCTTTTTTCTATTATTTTTGAACAATTTCCTTTATATTAAACAATTGGTATTGAAACTGACTTTATGACTTTAACTCCAGCTTTATAAATACCTCCGAAGTGAGGTCCTGCCGGGGGAATATTGCGTTAAGTAACTGCTGATTGAACTTTCTTTTTTTTTTTTTTTAGTGCAATATTTATAAATTCTTTTTTTTTTTTACAAAATCAAAAAATTATTATAAAAACGAATTTTAATTAAGTTGACTTAGCTGCTGCTTCTGCCGCGCCGCCGTCGTCTTTAGTGTTGATGTTGTTGTTTTTGCTGCTGCTGTCGTCGCTGCCGCCGTTGTTTGTTGTAGGATGATTTCCTGATGCCGCCTGTTTCTGTATCGTCGCTGCGGCCGTCGTTGTTGTTGCAGACTTATTTGTAGTTGCTGCCGTGAGGTCGTCCCTCCTTCTACTTTTCTCCGTCAAGGGCTGGGTAACTTCCACACAATATCTTAGCCGATTTCTCGACCCCAGAAAATTATTTTATTCTTATTTTCTGGTTGCCATATCTGGCATTTACAAAAAAACCAACCAATGGAGTTGGAAAAAAATATTAATAAGGACTCTTATTGTCCTTTAATTTTAAAAAACCAACCAATGGAGTTGGAAAAAATTTTTTTTGTTTAAAAACAAAAGGGACTCTTTTTTGACCTTTTGAATTATCGTTTTCACGACCACCAAAAACTTTTTTATTATTGTGTTTTTTTTTTTTTAATTTTGTCACGATAGGTCCTTTTTTTATACCCTTGCAGGGTATTATAATTTCAGTCAGAAGTTTGCAACGCAGTGAAGGAGACGTTTCCGACCCTATAAAGTATATATATTCTTGATCAGCATCAACAGCCGAGTCGATCTAGCCATGTCCGTCTGTCCGTCTGTCCGTCTGTCCACCTGTCCGTTTCTACGCAAACTAGTCCCTCAGATTAAAAGCTATCTGAATGAAACTTTGCATATAGTCTTCTATATACTCTCACTGCTATATATGTCGGAACGGGACGGATCGGACGACTATATCATATAGCTGCCATACAAATGTCCGATAAATTTTTAGAAAAAAAAATAATAACTTTGCTGTTTTTCAATATTTTTGCACCATTTTTTAGATATGGCCATTTTATATTATTTCTAAATTTTGGTAAAAATTTTATGAAATCGGACGACTATATGATATAGCTGCCATAGGAACGATCGGGAAATTAATAGGAAAAAAATTATAGCTTCGTTGTTTTTCAACGTATTTGTATCTACTCTGAGATATAGGCTTTTTTTATTGTTCTAGAATTTTGGTATAAATTTCATAAAAATCGGACAACTATATCATGTAGCTGCCATATAAACCGATCGGTAGATGTATACAAAATGTAAAGCTGGGAATGCAAAACTGTAACTGTCAAACTGTAAACATAATAAGTATAGGTAAAATGTAATGAAATAATATCTGCAAGGGTATACAAACTTCGGCGTGCCGAAGTTAGCTTCCTTTCTTGTTTTTCACTACCGCGACTTTTCGATGTTTTAGGCCTCGAAAAAACGCCCACAATAAATATTTGTTATATTTATTTTTTAATTTTGTCGATTTCTCGACCACTTTTTTTTTTTTTAACAAGAAGGACTCTTTTTTTTTTATCCTTTTGCATATATATGGTATAGTTGGCCATTTCAAATACCACAGCATAATATAATGCACTTTTTAATTTTTTTTTTTTTAAAGCACATTTTATACTGATATTATTGGCTCCAGCACGCCTTACCATTTCTTCCATGGTATTACAGCAACCTAAATGGTGCTTGTATTTAAAACATAAAAGACTCTTTTGTGCCTTTTTGTTTTTATTTTATACTCTGTTCCTTACCACGGGTGGGGGGAAACAAGAGATAATTATTTTTGCAGCCTTAATATTTTAAGGTGCTGATTTATAACTCTGAACCTCTTACCACAAGGGGGAAAGTTACAGAGCGGTCGAAGGACCAAAATGAAAGACCGCCCGAATTAGAGGACGTCTTCATACGGAGTTTTTGTTTCAAACTGAATTTATTCCATTCAAACCCTAGCTTATATAGCTAACATGAGAATGTACATTGTAGATCTTAGTTCTAGACCCACGCATCGGACAGTTCCCGATCGTGGGAAGTATTTTAAGTACGATAAGGGTGCAAACAGTCACCCCGAAAGAACATATCTTAAACAAACCCAGACCGCTCGCAGGAGGTCATATTTCGGGTTACTTGTTACATAGGCTCAAGTGGCGGTTGTATTAATAGATAGATATGCACATACAAGTGCTAGGCCGTGCTCTGCTGCTGAGACTTAACCGCTAACAGATGCTTCTTATCTAAAACCGTGTTCATGTTTGAACAGCAATTGTTTATGTTCACGGATGTCTATTAGTTCATGTTGGTGGGTGTAATTGATAATTGTTATTTAGGTGCCTTCGGTTTAATTTTACGTGCTTTTAAATTTTAAATTTTCATGTATTTGGCGTTTTGGTGCTTTTTAAATATAGCGTTTTATATTGCCAAATCAGTGTATAAATGTACACAGAAAAAAAAATCCGGGATAAAGTCGCCAAAATCAATCCCAAGTGGGCATGATTTCGAGCTAAGGTCGGATTTTCTTAATATAAGAACGAACATACTTAATTTTTTCAATCTCGAAAATTCTTGATTCAATCCCGCTAACCGTAAAAATTTCAATCCCAATTTTTCTTAATTTAATCTCAAACATTCTTAAATTTTAATTTTAAAATTTAAATTTAAATTTAATTAAAAAAAAAAAAATTTTTTTCTCGGCTTAGTCCCCGAAATTCTTAATTATTTTAATCCCAAAAATCCTTGATTTAATCCCTCTAAAGTTCTTAGTGAGAAGTGAAAGAAGTTTTTATTTAAATCTGTAATTATAAAGCTACAAATGGTTATTAAATTAATTATATTATATTAATGTATAAATCTTATTAAAGGCACTTATTAAACTTACTTTTCCTAGTTCCCGGTCGGGATTCGAACCCATGTCTCAGAAATCACAGACCGTCCGCTTACCAACTGGGCCACTGAGTCAAATCAAAAGCTAATGTCGGGAACCCGAATACATACAGTTTCAAGGAAAGAGCAAAAATGTTATCTCTCTCTCTGAGCTAAAAATAGATTTGCTGCTCTCACCAAATTTTTAAGAATATTTAGGCTTAATTCAAGAATGTTTGGGCTTATTATGCCTCTATAATCCCAAAATGAGATTAATTCAAGAATTCTTACGCTCATTTTGTCATTTTAATCCCGAAACGCGATTGATTCAAGAATTTTTAGGCTTAATTGGTAATTTTAATCCCGAAACGGGATTGATTCAAGAATTTTTAGGCTTAATTTGCCATTTAATCCCGAAACGGGATTGATTCAAGAATTTTTAGGCTTAATTTGTCATTTAATCCCGAAACGGGATTAACTCGACTGTCTAACCCCGAATCGTACTTAAAAATTTTAATCCACCACATCGAAAAAATCAAGAAAAATATTCTTGATTTTTTCGTTCTACCATTTTTTCTGTGTATTCACATACACATTTTTTTTACGCACCGACAAACAAATAAACAATATAAATTAGCACGGGCACTTTAGAATAAATAACGTAGATTTAAATTTAATAAATAAATAGAATTGAATAAAATAAATAAATAAATAAATATGGCGGAATTAAATAAATTAATAATTTAGCCTACTGTTTCTTGCGTAAATAAATAAATTAACTAATCTTATCCGGCCGTGGATTCTTTGGTGCTTCCGTCCCCTTTGTCCCGGCTGAGACGGTGGCACCTCGGCCTTTGAGGTCCAGTATTCGGGACCCGTCCGACTTTGGGGTTGGGGCCGATTTTTTTTTCTAGTTACTCCCGCCCAGAATTTTCGCCTCCAGAAGGCACAGGACCCTGTGAACGTGTCTTGGTTTATTTTAATTCTAGTTCCGTTTGGAACGGACTCACTTTTTTTTCCTTCCTGGCTGTATCCCTTCTTCTCTTTTTTGGTTTCCCGTGACCGGCTCCTGGTCACCCTGGTGGCTTTCCGGCTCCGTTTATCCTCCTTTATTTAATTCTTAGTTTTTTTTTCGCACTCCCGTCCGAAATATATATATATATTAATTTTGTTCACCTTCCCGACACTATTTTTCGGTTTTCAGGTTTATATTTTCGGTTTTTGCGGTTTGAAAGGTTTGAAAGGGTTTTTGGTTGTATTTCGGCTCCGTTTTTCCTACTGGCCGCCATTAGCGGTCACCTTGCCCTATATAGGCTCGGTTCCCACCAATTCCTTCACCCACTTTTCTCGCCTCTCTCTCCCGGGGTCGAGAACCGCTTTCAAGGCCAGTACTCTTTGGTGCCTTGGTGTGGGTGCAGCTAACCTCTCTCGCGATCGGCACATACTTCCCACACTTCCCCTCTTCCTGGCCCTGCCAACCTATCCTCGGTGCGCATCCCAGACGATATTTGTTTCGCCTGCGGCTATCGATTACCGCCCGAATGCAACACTTTTTCTATTCTGACGTTGGAGTAGTTGCTCGCACGTAAAGAGACGCGTCTCAATGTCCCTTGGCTTTAACTCGTACGGCACCCATGTTCCCTGGTTTTGGATCATTGCCAAGCCTTTTAGCGAAGGGAAATTGATTGCTGAGTCACACCCAAGAAATCAACGAGTTCTTGTTGTGTCTGACAAGAATCTTCATCCAGCAGAGCCTCGAAATCCGCGTCTTCAAACCGACCGGGTCCTGGTCGATCCTTGTCTTCCACGTCATACTCGCCATTTTTAAACTTTGCAAACCATTCTCGACACGTTCTTTCACTTATACACGACTCATTATAAGTTTCTACGATCATTCGACGCGCTTCAGCTGCCGATTTTTTCAAATTGAACGCGAAAAGCAAAATCTCCCGCAAATTACGCTTATTGGGTTCGAATTTTGACATTTTCGTGCACCAACAAAATGATAGACAATAAGAATACACGAACGAGACAATGTAGAGTTTTTGACCGATATTTTAGCTCGCCATTTGCCGTTCCCAATAAAAATTTCTCAACGTTTTGTGAATATATATATGTCGAAAATAAACGTTATTTAATTTAACCGTAGTCGAGCCAGCGAATTCTGTTCGCCTGCGCAGTCAAATCGCAACTGTCATCACGCCACTTTTCCTGTGGCCTTTTCACCTTTTCTTACTTTTCACTCAGACGTCAATCCTAGACAATCTCAAGCTGTCTCTCTTACTCTCTCCTTTTGTTGCGACAGACGAACAGACCTCACTCAGTAACAGACAGTCTTCTGTCCTTGTCCTGTTACCGACTCAACTGTCATTGCGCCTGCGCGCCAGCGACACCTACAGGGCTACCAATACCTAAGCATGCCGAATAATTATGTTGCCAAGGCAACAAGCATTCCAAATTTGCACTTAGCAACTAACTTTCCGACATATATATATATAACTAGAGGACACGGCGAACTCTGTCTCGCCCAACTATCCGACTGAATTTTTGAACTCACTGGATGTGCCAGGAACTCCGCCGCATAATTTGCAACTAAAGGTGGGATCAATTATTATAATGCTGCGGAATCTAAATCATCAGACATTATGCAACGGTACGCGGTTGTCCGTTAAGAAACTAATGAAATTGAGACGTTCCGTTTTTACTTTGACGTACATGTCGACACAGTATTGTTGAAACAAACGGCGGTATCTTAACAGATGATTGTCAACATCTAGTCGAATCATCAATCGACATGCATAAAAATTCATAGAGCTGACCTTATTCGTTTCTTCTCCTAAAATTTGAATTCAAACTTAGTTGTAGAATCAAAAAGAAGTGATGACTTGTAAACAAACCTGTCGTTGGCTTGACCATCTTTATGTTGAAGTGATACCCATCTTCTCCACGACGGAACATCAACGGGTATTGAAGAGCATCATATGACGGATGAGTCTCATAAACTCGTTGCAATTGGCCGTTATCCCGACGCTTAAGAACAATATCGCGTGATTCCACATTCCCGCCAACAATCATTGATAGTGGGAGCATTAAATTGTCTTGCATGGCTACCAGTGGGTCTTTTGTCAGCGCTGATAATGATTTTGTGTTCGTCATAATGCATTATATCCAATGCGATTTTGAACAATCTGACCAATTCATTACCAACTTAGTTGCAGTAAAAATTGCACAGCGGTGATTTTGTTCAACTGCCGAATCAATGAAATAGATCTGAAGGAATGATCCTTTTTTTGTGGTGGTAACAAAGCGCCCGCAATTTCGAAAAAATGTGAGTTGGTTATTTTGATAATAAAGCGACGTCATTACCGTATAACTCGGATTGTAGCCTGATTGATGAACAAGCATCCGTTATATTTTTGTGCAAGCTTTAGGAAACTGTTTGATTAGGCTGAATTTCCATATAGTAGCGAATACAATGGCTCTGGTGGATGAGCCAAAACGGGCAATTCAATTTTGCCACCTGCACAGCATAAGCCGGGGGTTGCCAGCCGAAACTTCAGTGCATTGTAATGCTGACATACGACAGACAATGAACCAATAACAACACAGGTAAGATCCTTGTAGGATGTTTCAGAATTGTTTGCGAATGCAGCGCGATTCAAGTTTTCATTTGCCGTTCGTCTTCCTCTATTATTTTGTCGGGCTTGAGGTGGTCTTTGTGCAGCGCGAAGCTGTGCCATCTGGCCACGTATCGATGCATTTCTTTTTGTACGTTCCTCTTGCGTCCGGCTATTACGGAAATTCGGACTACTTATTGAACGCCGTCCAAGTCTTGATCGTCTAACAGCAGGCATTATTTCCAATTGTTTAAGCTCACTTTGGTAATGCTTCGTTAACTCAATTCTTTTTG